CACTGCTGCGTCGATGAGTTCGGTACGAGCGTTTTCTCGTATGTTCTTTTCGCTCCCACATATATATTGAATGAGGTCACGTTGTATATCAACTGTTTACTTAATTGTAATCGTATTGAAGTAAACATTGAGTGGGGTCACATTATCTATCAACTTATTAAACGAATATTACCAAAAGTCAATGGAACATCTATTGCTATATTGTGTATTACAAGAGCTGCAGACAACTATTATGCCCAGTCTTAGTAACTGCTACAAGAAGCTCTTACCAGGCCTCCTACTACTTGTGGAGGACGGGTAGACTATAGAACATCTTTCCTTCTTGGTAGTTTTATTTCGACACATCCTAAATTAGAAATTTTAAAATTAATCGATTCGGAATAGATAACATAACAATTCATTAGTTCGGTGAGTCTCGTCCTGCAATTTTCCAATGCTCTGAAATTTTCCAGTTTAAAAATCCTTTTCAACATACCTTTTCTCAATTGTCATACTGTTCATCGATTTTATTTCGACGATGATCGCTTTTATTTCTACTAAAAACAAACACATCAGACTTGGTTTATTAAGAACGATTTTTACAAAAGTTATTAAATAATATTTGATGTTCGCATATCCAAAATAACTATTCCGCCAAATATCCTAAAGTTTAGAGAATTGGATATCGGAAATCTAATATCATTTCAATTTTTACGATCAGATGTATTTGTAGAAAGAACTATCTGAATATGACTATACTATCGAAATAGTCACGAAATATAAACAAATTAAATAAAAATACCTACACCAATGGTTCCAGGAATGACCGGATCTACATATACTCGTATACCAAAAGCAAGTACTGTTTGCTTCTTCCAATAGTTACAAAATATCGAACCTCGCAACTGCTACTTTTTGACATATTGACTAGTATTGCTAAACTCCACCAACCAGTTTTAAACGTATCTATTTGCATTCTCTCTACATTTTAACTAGCTATTTTGTTCTCACTCTCTCTCTCTCTCTCCCTCTCTCTCTCTCTGCCTCTCTCTCTCTCTCTTTTTAAAGCATTAATTAGTCATAAGTTTATATTGAAATATGAATACAAATAAATTTCGTACAAAACATGTTTATTTATTTTTGTTTATATATACATACATATATATATATATATAGGGGTGTTTAATTTAATTTATTTACGACACAAAAATAGTTTGTTTCCACACATATTAATTTTTATTTATTTTAAAATTCTACATTAAATCAAATTTTCTGGTTTTGATATTTATCATAAATTCCTTAATTTATTTAATTATTTTATACAAATTAATTTCCATGTAAATTGTCACAAAATATAACTTGTATTATAAAAACAATTAATTTTTTATACCAGTTTTTAATATGTACATTCTTTTTTGTTTTCTCTTTATTAAAATATTTATTTTTAATTATATATTCGTTTTTTTTATATGAAAAAATTAATTGGTCTTTTAAGTTTTAAAAATTTTTAAAAAAATTAAATCAACTTTTTTGTTTCAATTTATTTTACTTATTAAATTTTATTTTTTTATTTTGTTTTGTGCTTAACCATCATCAGTCAATTTTCACTCAATGTTAAAAAATTCTAACCTCACTTAAAATGTTTACATATTTAATATATTATATTTAATATTATAAAATAATAATTATTTTTAGGAATAAGTACATTTTTGAGATTTGATTACATATTTATTTTTTTTTTTACACATTTTATCTTTTAACTTTTATTAATTAATCTAAATAAAATACTAATTGCAAGTTTTGCAGGATGTTCGGTGCTATTGTTGTAGGTAAACTTAATTTATTATATGTATAAAAAAATTAATATTAACGTTACATTGTTTATTAGACATTTGCTATTTAAAATTATTTAAATATTTAATTTTTCATATTTTAAATATCTTCTACTTTACACCCTGCAAAAGCTTTTGCTTATACTCTTAAGAAAAGGCACACATTTTACTACACTTTTCCTTAAACATAATACAATATTTTTATATATTTACCCAAACCACTTAAAAGTTAAAACAATTAACGTTAAAAATAAATATCTAAAATAAAAATATGACATATTACATAAAAAAATATATTGCAGAAAAAAGAAATGTTAAAACAGGCTTAATGTATATAAACAAATAACTAATTGCTTACAATAAAAATCAAAGTTCTTTTTAAGTAGTACGTTTACTAAAATATAATTATTTTAAAAATAAATAATACAAAATTTTTGTTCCAACAATAATAAAAATAAAAAAAAATAAATTATTATGTCAACACAGTTGCTTTTGTTCCTAAAACGACCATTCAATAAGCACGCCATAAATCTTTTAATTAATTAATTTGTTTAGTTTAAATAGAAAAAAATTAAATAGAAAAAATATTTATAAATTATTTCTAGAAACGATTCAACTTCTTTAATTATATATGTGTCTACAAATCGTAAAATATTTCAGTTCCTAATCGGATAGCCAGCCATAAGTCAAAAAATTTCTAGTTCCAGCAATGGGAGATTATTTTTAAAAAAGTGATTTTAATTTGATAATAGCAAAATGAAATGCAGTTAATATGGTTTGTCGGGTTAGTGCAAAAACATCCAAAACAGAGATTTATCAGAAACTATTAAAAAAGATCTAACATATTATAAATGCAATATCAAGAATATACGTGTTCTCATCAAGAGTGTTTACAAGTACAACAACCTGGAGGGCCGCTTAACCACACGTCTCATCCATTTAATTCTGTTCTCCCACTGCTACCGACTCCATTACAAAACTTGTATTGATCATCAGATTTATTAAATATATAACAAATAAGTCACCCTAAAAGTTTTGAAAGGAATTAACCAACGCAAACGAACTCCAGACTCTTTGAAATAAGAGGGTACATGCGAGCAATTGGTAATTACAAGACGTACTAGTATATGTACTGATAAAGGTATATTGAAAGCTTTATATTGGTAGCCTTCAAGAGTCTTACATTATTTCGGCAACTCTTGTGAGAGGAGTATAGGTGACTGGTCTACAATATTCTTCTTCTTCATTCCAGTACGTTCGCAGGGGAACATTGGACCATAACGAACTTTTTCCAACTGTCACGATTTCTTGTCGGGGAGTTCTACATTACAATGGATTGATATTGTTACAGCAGATCATGAAATATATGAACACAAGAAGAAAGGAAAAAAATATGAAATATAGATACTGCACCTTCACTTATCTTATTACGGACATCAAAATCTCTGGTACAAGTAAGCAATTTAATAAGAAGAAAACATTTTTAATGTTCTTATTGAAGAGGTCGTTTTTTAAATTCTTATAAGAATTGCGGTTTATATACTAAAAATAAGGAATTAAATAATGTTTTTAAACTAATTTTGATTATGTTGCGATATTAAGGTAATGTAAATTATTGTTTATAATCTATTTACTTTTTAACTTTTTGTTTTAATTAAATGGAAATTTGAGAGTATTGGAAGCTTGAGAGCTATGTAGTGATTTTATGGTGGGGTATGGGATTGGCTTAATTTTAAGTAATTAGGAAGAACAAAGTTTTTTACAAAAACAAGCTTTTTTAAATATATATTTATTAATTTAACTTAAAGTAAAAATATTTTTTAAAACTTATACATATATGTTTAAACTAATATGTAAATGTTTTTTAATCCTGTTGCAGGATTTTATACTTCATTAATGATAAAAAGATAAAATTAAAATTTTATATATTTTAATGAATTGCAACTTATGTTTTAATGCAACTCATGCTTTGAAAAGTTTATACATATAAGTATATAAATCTATAACAGCTGCAGCAGTATACTAATAACAACATCAATATCATTCTACAAACTCTTAAAATCCTTCTGTCAGCTAAAAATCTGAATTTTCTACTTGAATTTTATAAATGAATTTTATATTTTATAAAGAAAAACGAACCGAATACGGCGGGCTTTAATTATATAAACCCGGAAGGGATATTAAAAACTGACTATGTCATGGATTCATATGCTAAGGTTGTTAGCGATTCGATTTGTAGCATTGTAACATTGATCCTACGATCACTATATATGAAGAAGAAAACACAATTCTGTCAACCAAATGATTACTAACATATAATTTTATTATAAAGATTAAATTACTAAGAACTAAGAACTGACGGGACGAATGATTACATTCCACAATTACATTCTCTCATTAGTTATACTAAAATTTTCTATGACGATCACATAAACTAGATTAAAACAGCAACCCTAGCAAAGTGTAGTTTTTAATGGAAGACAAATATAAAACAATAGGGGTACTCACGATCTCGTGCACTGAACTCAGTAACCGAGTAACATAATAACAAAATACATTTCGAATGCATATATTTTGCTGTTAGTACTTCACAGTTACCAATATATGCGATTACTAGATTTATGAATATCTCAAATAATATAGAACAATTAAAATACAAGCTTCGTGTGTGTATGTGTGTTTATGATTAGAGCGATAGTTAAATAAATATAAGAAGTTATATCGTAACTACATTGATCTGCGTCGAAAATTTTACAATGAACGGACTCTTATGGTCGAACAATTTTTGGTTGTATGGAGTATGCTATTCATAGGTACTAAATTGTTTCTAGTAAAATTGTGAAATACTACCAACGAAAGGTGTTCGCTTAACAAGGATATCCATCAAGAGAGACTTTTCACTATATTCAAAGAAGTCATCATTACAAAGACAACTAAAATTATTGAAAAGATGTATAAGATCTCAAAATGTGGAATACAAAGTAGATAATAGATAATATAAAACTCTACTAATAACTACCACAGCTGCTATAAAATATACTTAATTTTAATTTTATTTATTTTCTTTATAATCATTTTAATTGCACTAAATCTAAATACTATATTGTTTTGTAAAAACGATTTTATCCTTGCACATAAAAAATTAGTTTCAATTGAAGGTTTCTTTTCGAATAGCTGCGACAAATTTTTTAAAGATATGACAGAGTGTTAATTCTAAAATTAAATTATATATATAAGATAATACATTTTTGCGAAATGCCATATAGAAGTTTGTGTTTATAATACATATATATGCATATATTATTGTTTTTTTTTAACTGTTATAATGCACACTTATTAATCTTCGATCTAGTTGCACTTTGGCTAGATTTCTGTGTTGATTTAAGTGTTTCGATTCTCTTTTAAATTTCTTATTGACATAAGTGTTGTTTTCTTAATTGGATTGTATTTGTGGCCATAGAATATTATAAGATCAGTATTTATACCAAACTGGTGTACTACTGAAAATTTTGCATCGGTTTATTTATTTATATAAAAGTCCTTTACATTGAGCGAACCTGCTTCCTAAAAAAAAAAATTAATATAATAATAATTAGTAATTATTAAGATGATTTCGTAAATAGCTAATATCTAAAAGTAGCCTATTCTTTAGCTCTATATAATAGACTAGATATCTGCGCCTTGACCCAAGTTGACTTCAATGAAAATCCCACCCACTCTCAAACCATTCTTGTTCCTAAACAGATCCCTTACTTTCGCACACTGCCATCACCTAATCACTTCCCAACCCATGTGCACGTTTTTGTAGTTCCTTTCATCTTTTTCCTTTTATCTGCTTGATAGATCTCCAAGTTTTACCAGAACAATAACAATATCCTCTTTAATATTTAATATGTTATATTTAATTTCATATATTACTAATTTAATTTATGAACTTTGTAAACTTTTTTGTTCATATATAGTATATAGCAGAATATGTATCCCAAAATCAAATGTTAATTCTTAGATAATTCTTAGGAATCTAATAATAGCTTTTATATTTTGTTTATTGTTAATTATACTCAAGTTATTTTTAAGCGATTATCACTCATTAAATTTCAGTATTGAAAAACATAAGAAAATTTGGCACAATTAAACTTTAATATTAAATCTGCTCTACTATTAGATTTAAAAAAATTATATACATAATGTGAAGTTGAGTTTGATACTTACTGCTTTTTTATTACCTCTATCTTCATTACAGCCTTCTAGTAGCCCTTGATAGATTTGCTTCAAATATCGTAATATACTCCATCAAAATAGCATTAGTATTACTGTAAATACTAGAAGCTTTGCATAATTTTGCTTTCGGTGCATATTCTACAGGCTCGTTTAAGTTAGCTATTGATAGTTTCGCGTCCAGCATACAGTCTGCAGATTCTACTACCATGTTTACATCTCTATCAATCACTGTTTATATCACTAGTTATTCATATTCATTCATGGTTTTGGTACACATGCTACAGTTCAGCTGATTTCGTTTTTTTATCAATGTTTATACTACGATCTATTGATAGTTTCACTCTCAATATAAGTTTTGTAGACTCAAGAGAGTATATATACATCACTCTGTTTATATCATTAGCTTATATTGTTTATATCATTAGATTCTACTGCGATTGCATAAACATTAGTAAAACAATTTTCTTCAACATTTGAATTGTAATGTGAAAGATCTCCACCCTTTAATCGCGAGCTTTCTATTTGAGTCATCGTATACGACTGTATAGAACTGTCATTACTTTAATAAGAAATCGATGCATTGAAATATTTTTACACAGTCCATGGATTTAAATATCCACAATTAAGTGTAGCAGTAAACTCATCTAGTCGAGTAGTTGGATTCTAAAATTATAAAAATATTGCAAAATTAATCAATACGCTTATAGAATTTATTTAATAAATTTTAAATTGACTTACCTCAAATATAATAAGATAACTACACATATGAAGATTTCAGAAATGTTAAGAAGCACGTGAGTAGAACCCACATATGTGAAGTGACATATATAGAGGACACATACATATATAGAAAATACACTTATTATAGAAGATAAGTACATAATTTGGTAGAAATACGTTACTTTTTATTTTTGTTAGAATACAAATTTTTAAAATATTTTAATTGAGGAATAAGCATTTACGAGCATTAAAAGCATTATATTTAAATAATTTTATAATTGTTTTTTTTTTGGCATTTTGAAATTGTTTTTAGAATTTGGTTATTGTTCCATGAACGTTTTTTATTGATTAATGCAATAATAACAATACAGTGCACGCTCAATATTCGCGACAATCCATTATCGCGACGGGCCAGTTATCGCGACAGCTTAATTTTTAGCATTGCAGGTTCTACAATGGCGACAGTTAACAAAAAAGGTTCTATTTTTGCGACTTTTATTTTTTTATTCTAACTGTAATATGTATATCTACTTCCCTGGTTTGATTGCAATGCTATGCCACATTTTTGTCTTAAAATAAGCAGCAATAAGGGAAATCTCCGAATCTTTCATATAGAAAAGACCAAAGAGAATTTTGGAGTGGTATTTGCAGTGAATTATTTCCGTAGAAAGTAATGAGGACCAAATACAATTATCAGAAGCGGAAGCGGAGATTTCATATGACAGTGGTCATGAAGAAAACAAAATTAAAGTAGACGACGTTATTACATCGATTGACATGTGCATATAATGGGCTTTGGAAAATGACAACCCGACAACAGCACTATATGAACTACGTGATTCAGCCATTATTTTGAAAAATAATTTGCCAAAAAAGCAACTTAAAATCTCCAACTTTTTAAAAATATAAATATATATAAAATGTATATATATAAATATATGTATATAAATAAAAACGATTTAGTTTATATTAATTCCACACTATTTTTTCAATGGAATTAGGGTTCGGTTATCGTGAAATCGATTTCCAACCGTGCACTGTAGAACTAATTAACATAGTTTAAATTAAAGTTATTATTCTTTCAAGTTTATAGTACACAATCCGTATGGTATAGATGGGTACTTGATTGCGGCATGAAAAAAGAACATTTTTGTGTTCTGAAATGTGACAGACGAGTTTTTCAAGAAATCGCTATATCAGGTAGATTATATGTATATAATACTTTTTTCAAATACTTTTTCAATGCAATGTAACTGTGCACATATCAAATCATCACAGGTCAAAAAACTATCGTAGTTCTTAACAAATTTTTTTTTCTATGAAGCGTATATAGTACATACATATATAATAGTAACAAAAATACTATTTATAATTAAATATAAAATACAGCCTTACAATAAGGAGTTGATATTGAAAAGATTTACGAATGTAGACCTCAGCACTAAGTAGAAAATTTATGACTTGAGTCTTATTTTTTATCAAAAAAATATATCAACTGTTTTTTAAAAAGCAGTTTATACTCTTCGAGTTTAAAAAATTTTAATTATGTAAATTAAAGCAAATCAAAATTGAAATTTTTAATAATTAGACATTTTCAAATAAATAATTATTTACTTTGAAAGTCAAATTTATTGCCAATGGAGAGATTATAGATTATTGAACCGAAAGGACTAAACATGCTCGAATACTAATTCCTCAATAATTATAAAATACAATACAAATTACATACACGTGTCCATAACAGTCTTATATATATATATATATGCATAAATAAATATATAATAGTTGGCATAATAAAATGAATTTGTTTCTGTAATAAACTGATACTAAAACAGTTTCATTAACTTTTGAAATCAAAATATTATAGAATAATATACTTTTTAGTTAGTTCTTCTTTATCTAAAATAGTCTTTTCGTTTTCCATGTGTGCTTTTAAGAAGTTCTTTTATACACATTAATTTTATAATTATTTTTTATATAATATTAATTAAAAATATAAATACTTTTAAGTATAATTATTTTATGTTAAATTTGATTTTTAATTTTTTTTTTGTTTTTAGTATTTTTTATCTATATATATATATATCTATATATATATATATCTATGTATATATATATCTATATATATATATTTCCAGATATATATATATATATATATAATTTTATATATTAAAAAATATATAAATATTTTATGTACATATTTGATTTGTGTCGTTTGCATTTGAAAAGTCTATTATTTATTTGAATCTCTTATTATTAAGTAAAGAAGACAAATTAAAAATAAGATTTGGCAAATAATTTCATATTATTTTTTTTTTTTTTGTCTTCTTTGTATTAGTATTAGTATCTTTCACTAACTTTATACGTTTTAAATGGAATTCTATCAGTTTCACGATTTAGGCACATGTTTTCTATTCCTTCCTTCACTGCTCCTTTCGAATTCATTTTATAACATATAATGAATTTCCTTATATATTAAATTATAGCTTTTGCATTTTCGTTTATTGAAAATGAGAGAACTATCGTATTTTTCATCGCATTGCTACTGTTTCTGAAGTATAGCTTCTGTTGCAGTTCAAAGCTATAAGATAAATTTTATTTGATAAAAATTTTGTTGATTGAAGTAGCATTTGTCAATGTTCCCCACGTAACAGCTCCACTAACAAATTGAAATCGCCGCCGTCACGAGATTTTATAGTCAACATCTCCTTGCCAAGCTATTAAAAGTAAGAAGAAACGTAATAATAATTATATATAATATTAAAAGAACACCAGAAATGTAAAGCAGACAACATTCAACATCCTTCAAAATACATTAAAAAATTATACAAAATACTTAAATATAAAATTAATATTAAGTTAAATACACATCGATAATAGTAATGTATATTCACCTTTTCCAGAGTACAGACATAAGCGGTATTGGAATACCTATTGCCACGTGAAAATTATTATTGAAAAATAGTGTCGTGTAAGAAACCAATAGGTCTTAGACAATCCAAGCCTTGTTTATTTTATAGATTCATGTGGCTGAAACTTGATTGAAGAAAGCCAAGAAAATTGCTTTAGAGGGAATATTTCTTAGATCGTAATACAACCATTCTACAATCATTGACAGGCTATTTAATAGGCAGTAGTCAGGCTAGAACTACCATCCCATTAGGTAGACAACAAAATAGTTTAACACTTTTTCTGTAACCCTGGCTATGTGTAAAATAAGTTTCTTTAACACTTATACGTCCAGCTCTTTGACTTTATAAAGGCTTTAAAATGAATCCATATATAAAAGCAGTAACGATGCTAGATATCAAATTAATTAATATATGGTAGATCGATAGCCACAATAACCTAACCCAATACATTTTTTTTAAAGCTTTATAAGAGGAGTACATTAAATGACAATTGCACTTCAAAAAAAGATATTATTTCTATTGAACCAATTAACTGAAATTTCCTGAAGAATTATTGCTAAATTGTTGCTAAATTATTGCTCTTATTCTATTGATTTTATTCTACTATAATCGAATATATTATAATATTTTGAATTACAAGCTCATGCTTCATCACTATATACATAAACAAAAAGACTCAATCTGTATCGTAAAAGATAGAACTAGCTTATGTGGGCATTTTATAATAAAATAAGTCATCATAGAATAACTAGCTAACATTGCCAGATATTCCAACTCAGTATTATTAGTTTAAACAGATATTAGTAAGGTGTCAAGAGTGCTTAAAGGTGTTAATTTTTTTAAAATAAAAAATGAATTAAACGAAACATACTTGAAAATAGCAATGTGGGGGCTGAATAATTGTCACTGATAGGCTACTGATGGAGACATGAGTTTCATTGAATTAATCACTGAAACAAAATCAAAAATTAATCTCTTGGTCCCCCAACTCAATAAGAATAATATAAACAAATATAAATGAGATGTGCGAAAAGTTTAAATAATGATTACTTTTTAAACATAGAAAAATTCAATTATACAAAAAAATACTTAAATAAGGCATATATATGTATGTGCTAATTGGTTTATATATAACAAGACCTTCGAGAGTGAGTCGACTTTAATTGCACCAGTCATTTAAACAAAAAAAAAAACAAAAACAAAAAATCTGTAAAAATACAGGATTATAAGCGACAGGACTTTTAAGACATTTCATTACATGTTCTAGTAATTAGACTATATAAAACAAGAACCTGAATTTTAGTGGACTGATTATTTAAATAAAATAAAAAACCGAAGTTATACTTCACTAAGAATTCATGGGTTTCAGTAAACATACATATGTTGAATTTATTTCATCAATTCTTATCTGATTTCTGATACATCTTTTTAGAAACTTCAACTTGCCGTAACACTTAACAACTAGTAGTTATAATCTAATTAGGTGGTTTCTTTAATTTTCTTCTTGCTTGAAGTAGAAGTTAAGAATTTTTAAAAAATTTAAGGGTTGGTTTCAACAAATCTTGATGTCAAATCTAAAAATTTACTTTATAAACAGCTATTTATTTTTCTTCATAGGTTAACGTACACGAGATCAACAAAGTAATACTATATAATGACATATAGTACATGTACAACCACACAAGATATCTAATTCCAGTAAAACTCACTTGACACGTCCGTTGCAAATCAGGTATGCGCAACAGTAACTCGCCAAATTTGGACGGCGTTTCTGGATAATGGGCAAGCGTATATGCTTGTAAACTCTGTAATGCTTTCTCCTGACATTCACGTACTTTTACTGGTTCTAGTAATTCGGATGTATCTATAAAATTCAAAAATATTACAATAATAATTTATTTTGTTATGTATGATTTTGCATTTACCGGATTGTAGCAAAACTATCACTTTCATCGCTACATACTCATAACGATCAACACGTAAGCGTCTTAAATGGTCAGTTAGGTTAAGCATTCGCTCAATGCAGGCCTATAAGAGTAATAATCTTAATATATTGTCGCTCTATATGCTTCAAAATTAAAAATACCTGCAGACCACTTGATTTTGCTTGGGTGAGCGTTATTTTTTTGCCTTGCGACATTTTTATTTCGCCCGGTGTGTCTATCGAACGAAAGCAGCATGAAAACAGTAAAAGCTCACACCACGAATTAATAAGCAGACATATCTGGTCGTCAATCTGAAAGAATATAACAATATTATAGCACGACTATCATCTATTTTTAGGAGTACAAATATCACCGAAATATTTTTAAAAAGTGGCAAACTTTTACACCATTTGACAATTTTGTAGAGCCGATGATCAGCCACATTACACAGATGCGCTATCAAATCTGGATTGGTGTTCTCACCATTCCCAAAACCTGCACTGGCCAGCAGTGGATTAGTCACCTGATTGGTTCCGGTTGGGTTAGTGGAGGATGTTGTTGCATGAGACGAAGACGATGATGACAGCGGTTGATTTACACGTGTTAGTTCACCCTCATTGAATTGCCAAAGATGTTCTACATCCATAATTTCCTAATAAAACAAGAAAACCTCATAAAAATTTAGATTTTTGCAATAAATCGAGTTAGGCTTACTTGCAACAGAACTGGTATATTGGTTGCACGCGTAGTAGTTGCCGCATTACTACTGCCATTGAGTGCATTGTCGCTGCTGACATTTAAGCAATCGCTCTGTTCTGTTTTGAAAGTTTGCCCACTGTTGGATACACAGCCGTTTGATGCGGAATGCGTTACTCCCATGTTAGAGATTGTATTCGTACCGCTCAAACGCTGCTGATATTGTTGATTTGTTGTTGTTGCTGTTGATATGCTTTGAACTTGCTGATCAGTATTAAGTAAAGGACTGAGCATTGAACTGGGTAGTGTGTATGAGCATTGATAAGTAGATCGACCGCCACGAGTGCGATCTTCTCGTATAGCCTCCAGTTTCATACCTCTCTGTAAACACTTTTCAAAACGGCAAGCTGGACACTTTTTGCGTGTTGATATACTCACCGGACAAGGTCCACCTCGCACACAAACATAGTTTTTACGGTTTTGTACTGTCCGCTTGAAAAAGCCTTTACAGCTCTCACACGAAAAAATGCCGTAATGAAAACCAGAAATTTTATCCCCACAAATAGGACACGGTGAATTTATCAGCTGCTGTCTGGAAATACCTGCAGCTGATGATGGTAAAGTACTGTCTGTGGTGCCGACACTTAGAGGTGGCACTTGTGCGTCCATGGAAAGATTTTGTACTTCAGACACGGTAGCATTACTACCATTTTCTACGGATATAGGACGGTACAAAACGGAATGATGCAAAGAGCCATTAAAATTAGGATACATAGTCGATGATGGAGTCGCATGACGACCTTGTATAGGTGAATGGGTGGGACTGAACTCGGAACTATACGAGTAACATGAACTATGAGATGCATCACTGTTATTGCGACTCAACGAGGGTGTATACGGTGCATGTCGTGATGTAAGCGGAGATTGTGATGGCGAACTGTGCGTGTAAACGGAATGTATGGCGGAATCAGGACTCGGATTTGCTGGAAGTGGTAAATTTGTCGATTTGTTACGAGCTAGCAATGGCGAATTCATACTCGCCTCAGGTTCATATTTTAGATTGATGGGATCACTTTGCGTAGGTGCTAACTTCAGCTTCGTGTGGTGCGAATAAATAGATGAATTATGTATATCAACACAAATTTGCTCCAATTCTGGTTTGATCGTTGATGGTCGTGTGCGCGGTTGTTGATGTGGTGTATGTTGCTGACCTGGAGTATGCGTAGTAGTTGTTGCTTCACTTTTAATAACAGAAATGCCACTACCACAACCACTCGCAGTGCTAGTACTTGTGCGCAAACTTATACTCGTTGAGTTTTCAGTATCCATTACCTCTGTTTCAGTTGTTTCTGTCTCCGAAAGTTCTCCCTCCCACGACATTGGCCGTGGTCCATTTTTATTTATTGCAGTCGCGCTGCTAACACTGACATTGCCTGCACTTGTTCTACGAGTAACTTTCTGATTCTCAATATTGGTTAACTCCGCTTCGGAATCGGAATCTTCAGTTTTCGTAACTGGTATGCGTATACCTACGCCACCTGCTGAGTTATTATAATAGGTCATGTTAGGCGCAACTGTAGCAATAACAGGTACAACATTGCCATTCGGCGTGCTTGCATCATCCACTTCACATTTTATATTTGTCACCGACACATTATTTCGTATCGTAGTTGTTGTAAGCGACGTTGATGTAGAATGACTGCTCATGTTTAAGGGTAAATGATAGCCAGTACCAGGTATGACATTACAAAAATGAGTAGCGGAAGTCTTTGCATTGGGAGCTGCCGATACTGCTGATTTTTCGGATTTAATTGCCGACATTTTAACAAATTTGATAAAAAAATTATTTCCTTTTTCGTCTAGGCTTAACATGTGTCTGACATGTTAACTCCTGGATCAAGTCTTTTGTGTTTACATTTGATTATTGCAATTTATAAAAATTCGATAGATGGCGCTGATGAAGGGTCATGGTTGAGTAAAGCTAAAAATAAAAACAAAAAAATAATTATACTTTTTTATTGCAAATAAACAAAAAAATAAAATTTCACAAATAATTAAATATAAGAATTAATTTCCAATAATACTGACGATGAGCATTTCGCAATACTCAAAACAAAAATTCAATTAATTAAAATAATATAAAAAGAGTTTTTGTTGTTGTAATTCACACTACAGATTTTAAATTCTTTTAAAATATTTTCAAATTCTGAGAATTGAAATAAAAGTTTTGAAGAACAATAATTTGTTCTGATATACAATTTAGGTATATTGCATATAAATTATCACTTCTTATTAAATATTATCCAAAGTCAAAAACGCAAGGAGTTCATCAATGCTTTTAAACATTAACCATAATATTCATATAATTTATAGTATCTACCAGATACTTTATCATTATTTAATGTTGCTCATCTTGCTAAAGATTACAACAATAAGTATGATATATTCTGCAAACCAGTTTCTGGGCCAAAAGAAAAGGTAAACCTGAATGCGATCAAAAATGTTTCTTCAAGCTCTGAATCATTCTTAAATGAAATAGTTTTGGCTTTCTTTGGAGACATTTTTCTCAATACAGAGCACCGACCAAATGACTTTAAGTGGCCTGGCCGTCTATTTGCGCGTAAAAGAAATTGTGGAAAATCTTCTCATAGTGCAAAAAGATGGCTCGATTTAGTGCATTATATTTATTTCAGCATATTTTGCGCTTAGAACAACGATAGAGTACATGCCACTTCTTGACCAATAAAACAAAGGTGAAATCACCGTCTGTCTTGTGAAGTGGCTGGTTCTACGTTGTGGCAAGGTTACTAATTTCTTTCAAAACTCAATTTTAAAGAATTTATTAAAATTAAAATTAAAATTAATAAATGCAAATGGATTTGAATTTCTAAATAAACATTATTTTTATGACATAAAAAACCTCCTATGAGAAACTTGACCTCTTGATTTAGATAAAGTGTGATTTTAGAAGAATAATTCTATGGGGAGTAATGTAATTTGAACAATTTACAAAAACATTCTGCTAACAATTTTAGATTCATTAAAAAAGAACAATGTAAAGCATTTTATATAATATGATATTCATTATCTGTTCTAATTTAATGAAATTATAATTTGTTGAAATAATGATTCATAATTCGACTAGAATATTAAATGCAGAAGCAATTATATCAACTTTTCTTTTCTCAGAAATATTAGTTGTAGGATATGCTCCCAAAAGCAATCGGTTTTACGCCATATAATTACTTATCACTCGAGCAGGCCACACCCCACTCGTCAGGCACCCCACAACAATACTAACCTATGCACAAATGTAGTATGTTATAATCTACCGATTTTCTATATAACATTAAAAGTCAGTAGAACGGTTATTTATTGATACAGGAAATCCAAGATTCAATGTTGATATGACCCATTTTCTGCGAAAGTGGTGCAAGTGCATTTTATTTTTGGAACTATTTAAGATTCTGGTTTTGAATCATTTGAAAAGTATGGATATATATATGTTATTACACTAATTTTGTATAGAACTTCTAATGTAATCATTTTTCAAATGTGAATAACAAGAATTTATATTTTTAACGACTTCAAAGGACTTCAAAGTAAAAATCTTACATTTATAAAATATTAACTACGGGACCTCAATTGAAACAAACCAATTTCTTTTTATGAAATTTTTATTAAATCGTCAATAATAAAAAAAAATAATAAACAACAAAATTCAGAGACTTTATTTCAATATACTCCTACTACTACTGTTAATATATTTTCACTTTTTTCACTATATGGTAATTATGTTTTTGGAAATAGTCATGATGTATTTGAGGAATACATGGTGATAAATCAATCATTTTTTGCAAATTTTTCGAATGTGATGGGTCTGGAATGATGATATAAACGTGTTAGTACCGTATTTGTAAAGATTAGTGGTCTCCTCCGTGAGGGCAATATATTCAGTGACATTCTCATCTTCATTCTCATTAAATGAAGTTTTATAGAACGCTGTTTATATAATGTTGCTTTTTAAAACCCATATATCCAACATATCTTCAACCAATTTAAGTCGGCACCTTTGATATTTTTTCGCCTTCTTGGAATTGCATCTTCTAAGGGTTTTGTAGAAACAAAATAAGTTTGTTCCATTTCATGCAATACAAGCTTCTTATATTTGCGTCATTGTTTTAGGATAGTATAAGAGTCTTTAGGGGAACACACACTTCTCTCAACAATTCCAAAATTGACATCATTTGGTAGAGAAGAGTACCTAGAAATATAAAAACTTACTGTCGATAATTTGTACAGCGTTCTTGGGGGACTAAACAACATTATGCCACATTTAAGCCAATTCTAAATTTCTATTTTGTGTCTAGCGCTATGTCCCTGTAGACCAGGGCTGACCACATGCGACCCGCGGCTAATGTTTGTGCGGCCCGCGACATGTTTTTAATCAACTATATTATTTTATTTTTATGGTACACCAAATAAATACATTTGAATTAATTAATAAATAATACTAAATTTTTCATTATAACCGTATTTTTATTTTTGTCGAAAACAACTATGAATGTATGTATTTGTTTCTGCGACTCTCCAATCTGTCAGTGATTTTTTTTGTCCCGCGATCTGGCCTGGACAGCCCTACTGTAGACTCCCACATGTGGTTGCATGGTTACATTCTCTAAATGCTTCAAGCAACAAGAAGTAGTTCCTTTGACACCCCTGGGTGCAATAGTTTCGTCCCATGCATACATTTTAATTTCATTGTCATGAAAATTATGCAATTCTACATTTAATACATAGGTAAATATTACGTTAATAATATGCAATGGACACCAACAATTTTGAGTAGAGTAATCCCCAAATCAATATCCTGCAAATCAAAAACAAAGCGAAATTCCGGAAAACAAAAAAAATATTTATGTCATTTACAATGTTGGCACACATATAAAAATGCATTTAAAAATTATGAAAATAGTAGAAAAGAAAATAGTAAATTATGTCGGTATGGTAGCAAATTTGGTATTTACTAATTCTAGTAAATACCAAATTTGCTGCCATACCGACATAAATTTCAAGTAGGGTAAATTAGATAAAAATTAGGTAAAAAAAATTCCTAGGAAATTTCAATTTATTTTACCTCAATTTACTCGAACTCGCACACGCGTTCTAATTAAGGAAAATTCTCAATTGTGCTGATATTGTAGTGAAATTTTGGTATTTAAAATATTTTCAACGTGACTAAATCGAGCCTAAATAGAGAAATCGCCGTGGTTGCCACTTTAATATTTTCATAAAATGTTTAAGAAGAAAAAAAGTGAATATAAGTGAATCAAAATAGAGGAAAATTAGAACAACTCGCACTCGCCCGTATTACAACTTTGAACTAAATAGTAGTGTGTCTTTGAGGAAAGTGAACTTACGCCATTTTCAAAGAAATTATATTTGAAACTTTATTAACTATGAAAATTTGTAATAACAAAAACAATAAAAATATTAACAGACTTTTTTGGAAAACGTTTATAAATAAAAAGTTCTTAGTAAATTGTATTCATTTTTATCATTGACGAAGTTTTTGTCAAAGTGGAGTTACAACACTTTCAAAGAAAACCGCTCATACCTATATAGAATTACATATAAAATCATATATCTACTACTAATGGTCGGACGTTGGGATAGCGCACCGTTCAACAAGTGGCCCCACTGAAGTGAAGGATAAGCCGAAGTAGACCACGAAACTACTTGGGTACTTTTTCGTCCTTCTATTCTCGAATGTCATTATTGAGTTGAAGCTGGAGTGGCTTCCGTTCGCATAACTACATCTCTTGTTATTGTTAATGCAAGCAGCTCATTCAGCTTGAGGTTGCCTGCCAGGTCATCACCAAACCAATGGTGTCCCAAGACAGACTTCCTCCTACTTGCCAGTGCTGGACATTGCCACAATATATGCACCGCTGACTCCTTTTTTTTTCTGGGTTCTGGGCCGCAGAAGTTATGGCTTGATCCTTGCTTTGCAAGTTCATCTGCCTTCTCATTTTGCTCAATACCGATGTGTCCCTTAATCCACATGACCGTTACCTCATTTCCATGAGCACATTCCATGTAAAATCATATATATTAATAAGCTTAACAAGATTTCAATTTCAGGTAAAATAAATCTATACTTTTCTAACTCAGTTAGTAATACTTCTTAAGGTCAATTAGTTATTTAAGGATTTTTAAGTTCACGCAAAAATGATAACAAAGATTGTATGGCACAAGCTTGATTGTTTTATAAAAACAAGCATTGAGTAAGTATAAAGTGTAGTGCAGGATATGGCAAGGAAGTGAGAGGAATGAGAATTTTTCAGTTTATATAAAATCTGAAAGTAGTAAAATTATTAATATTAAAATTATTGTGGTCATATCTGATCTAAAATAATGTAACCTAATGACTTTTACTAGTACACATAAATATTTAAAAAATAATATTGGTAATTAACTATTAACTACCACTCTGATTAATTAACTTTTCTATATTAGAAGATTCTTTCCTTTTAATTTTTTTCAATAACTACTTTAAATTGCATTCTGTTAATAAATAAAGTATATTGTGAACTTGGTGAGCAATAAAAGAATTTGAATTCAGTTATTTTAATCTTTTAATACCGGTGCTTACATCTAAAAGGTCCACCTCCGCAATTCCACATTTTAAAATCCACCTACGTCATTTATCAGAAACTGATAAATACTAGAACGTAGGACTAATTAGAATTGCAGCGATTTTACGTCTCAAACCAGTAGAATAATAAGTACTTCATATTCGAATTTACCTATAGGTGTTTATTATGGTTACCCATGTCAATAGTTATCATTATAAAGTGCTTATTATGAAGAGCTTATCGCATATTCCTGGCAAGCAAAAACGTCACACGAAATGGGTTGGTGGGGTGCACGCAGATTACAAGAGTTAAAATTAACAACTAAAGAGAAAATAAAACCGCA